ACATTCTGGAGATCTCTTCCATTCCATTGATGTTCAGTCAGCAAGGACGTGAGTGTGTGAGGTTGGTTTAATGATCAATATTCAAAGTAGTCTGGGCCAATCACACAAAGGAAGATCAGACAGGGAGCAAGAGATGTTTATACTTGTGTATTTATGTGTAGGGTTTCAATCAGTTCCCGTTCAACACAGTGCACTGTCCTTGCAGTCCTGGAAATTTTCCCACACTCATCCTGTACCCTCACTTCTACATTCCCCTCTCTGGGCTTCTTACCTCTCCATGGCCTTTTCCAGAGGATTATTCCAAATATTGCAGCTATTACAATGACTATTCCAATCACAATTACAAGATGGAAATGTTCCACGCTGTTTTGTGGGATTTCTGAAATGAATAGGAATAATATCAGGATTATTGTTTTTCCCGGATCCAAGCCTAGTTTTGTGTGGATTGGGATAAATTTTAACTGAACCCACCCATTGGGATTTGATAGGATTGGTTCAAAAAATGGGTTGGCACTCACCCAATTTTACTCTCCAAATCCCATTGATGGGAGCGTTGCAGTAACTTCAACAGAGGATGGTATCCATCACCAAGTCACCCTTTATTTACACATGAACAGTCCTTGATGTTCGGATTGGATCGTTCAGGGTCAGGAAGCAGAGTTTCAGCATCTCTGAGACGCTCCTTTTTATTTGTCAGCCAGGGCTCCCTGATTGGGGCTGTTAATCTTGTTCAATCATGGAACTCATATTCTCTGAGGTCTCATTACAATCGCTGCTTCCCTCTGAGCCCAAGGACATTGGCCAGTCATTTGGCTCGGAGAGCTTCCTGGGGCATTTTAGCAATGGGTCAAGCTCCACCTTGTTTGACATCCAATATGGGCAGCCTCTAATGCACGGGGCCAATTTTGACTGTCTTAGATAGGAACTTTCAAAAGTTGATTGGGGAGGCTATTCACAGGTAAAGGGATAGCTGGGAAATCGGGGTCGGGGGGGGGGGTTCCTTTAAGAATCTGATAATGAGAGTCCAGAGGCAATATGTTCCTGTTCATGCGAAGGGCGAGGCTGCTAGGTGTAGGGAATGCTGGATGACCAGAGAAGTTAAGGTTCAGTTCAAGAAAAAAGAGGAGGTGTGTGTCAGGTATCGACAACAAGGATTCAGTGAATCCTTAGAAGAGTATAAGGACATCAGGAGTGTACTTCAGAGGGAAATCAGAAGAGCAAAAAAGGGACATGAGACAGCTTTGGCGAGTAGGGTTAAGGATAATCCAAAGAGATTCTGTCAGTAGATTAAGGGCAAGAGAGTAATTAGGGAGAGAATAAGGCACCTTAAAGAGCAAAGTGGCCGTCGATGTGTGGGACCACAGGAGATTGGTGAGATACTAAACGAATACTTTGTGTCAGTACTTACTGTGAAGGACATGGAAAATAGGGAACTTGGGGAAATAAATAGTGATGTCTTGAAAGCAGTCTATTATAGAAAAGGAGGTGATGTTGGTTTTAAAAGGCAGAAAGGAAGGTAAATCCCCAGGACCTGATCAGGTGTTACCCAGAACTTTGTGGGAAGCTCGATTACTCGGTGCCGAGCTTAAATTTTTGAATCATCAACAGCTATGGGTGAGGTGCCAGAAGACTGGAGGTTGGTTAATGTGGTGCCATTATTTAAGAAAGGCTGTAATGAAAAGCCAGGGAACTATAGACCAAGGTGGGTATGTTGTTGGAGGGAATTCTGAGGGACAGGATTTACATGCATTTGGAAAGCAAGGACTGATTAGGAATAGTCAACATGGCTTTGTGTGTGGGGAATCATGTCTCACTAACTTGATTGAGTTTTTTTGAAGAGGTGACAAAGAAGACTGGTGGAGGCAGAGTGGTAGATATTGTCCATATGGACTTCAGCAAAGTGCTCAAGAAAGTTCTACATGATGGACAGGTTAATAAAGTTAGATCACGTGGGATCCAAGGGGAGCTCGCCAATTGAATATAAAAATTGGCTTGAAGGTGGGAGACAGAAGGTGGTGGTCGAGGGTTGCCTTTCAGACCGGAGGCCTGTGACCAGTGGTGTACTGCAAGGATTGGTGCGAGCTCCACTGCTTTTCATCATTTATGTAGATCAATTGCAGATATAGTCAGAAAAATGGAAGATGGAGTTTAATCTGGGTGAGTGTGAGGTGCTGCACTTTGGGAGATCAAACGTTAAGGAAAAGGATACAGTTAATGGCAGGACTCTGAACAGCATTGATGTACAGAAGGGTCTGGGGTTTAAGTCCATAGCTCCCTGAAAGTGGCTACACAAGTAGATAGGATGGGAAAAAAAGCATATGGTATGTTTGCCTTTATTGGTCGAGGACTTGAGTACAAGAGGCAGGATTTCATGTTGTAGATTGATATGACTTTGGTTCGGCCACAATTAGAGTATTGTGTTCAGTTCTGGTCACCACATTACAGGAAGGATGTCACATTTCCCACAACTCATCCCTCACACCCCGTCCACGCAATAAGAACCAAAAAAGAATCCCCCTCCTCCTCACGTACCACGCCACCAACCTCCGGATCCAACGCATCATCCTCCGACACTTCCGCCATCTGCAATCCGACCCCACCACCAAAGACATCTTTCCCTCCCCACTTTTATCTGCTTTCCGGAGGGACCACTCTCTCCGTGACTCCCTTGTCCGGTCCCACTCCCCTCCAGCCCCACCATACCCAGCACTTTTCCCTGCAACTGCAGGAAGTGCTACACCTGCCCCCATATCTCCTCCCTCAACCCCATCCCAGGCGCCAAGAAGACTTTCCACATCAAGCAGATGTTCACCTACACATCTGCCAATGTGGTATACTGCATCCGCTGTACCCGTTGTGGCCTCCTCTACATCAGGGAAACCAACCGGAGGCTCGGGGACTGCTTTGCAGAACACCTACGCTCGGTTTGCAATAAACAACTGCAACTCCCAGTCGCGAACCATTTCAACTCCCCCTCCCATTCCTCAGACAACATGTCCATCCTGGGCCTCCTGCAGTGCCACAACGATGCCACCCGAAGGTTGCAGGAACAGCAACTCATATTCCGCTTGGGAACCCTGCAGCCCAATGGTATCAAAGTGGATTTCACAAGCTTCAAAATCTCCCCTCCCCCTACCGCATTCCAAAACCAGCCCAGCTCGTCCCCGCCTCCCTAACCTGTTCTTCCTCCCACCTATCCCCTCCTCCCACCTCAAGCCGCACCCCCATCTTCTACCTACTAACCTCATCCCGCCCCCTTGACCTGTCCGTCCTCCCTGGACTGACCTCTCCCCTCCCTAACTCCCCACCTGCACTCACTTTTACTGGCTCCATCCCCGCCTCTTCCACCTGTTTGTTTCCTCTCCACCTATCCTCTCCTCTATGCATCTTCTACCCGCCTCCCACTCTCTCCCTATTTATTTCAGAACCCCCTTCCCCTCCCCCATTTCTGATGAAGGGTCTAAGCCCGAAACGTCAGCCTTTCTGCTCCTATGATGCTGCTGAGCCTGCTGTGTTCATCCAGCTCTGCACCTCGTTGTCACAGGAAGGATGTTGCCTGGTTTGGAGGGAATGAACTATAAGGAGAGGCTAGAAAAACACGGGCTGTTTTCTCCTGAGCAGTGGAGGCTGAGAGCAGACTTGATAAAAAGCTATAACATTGTCAGATATATAGATAGGGTAGATGGTCAGAATCTTGTTCCCAGAGTTGAAATGTCTAATACTAGGGGTTGTGCATTTGAGGTGAGAGGGGGAAAAGTTCAAAGAAGATGTGAGGGGCAAGTTTTTTACACAGATACTTGTAGGAGTCTTGAACATACTGCCAGGGTTGTTATTTGAGGAAGATACGATAAGGGCATTTAAGGGAAATTTAGAAAAGCACATGGAGTGATATGGACCAAGGACAGGATTAGTTTCATTTGGCAACATGTTTGGCACAACATCGTGGTCGGAAGGCCCCACTCCTATGTTCTATGTTCTATATAAATGATTTGGATGTGATATAGGAGGCACAGTTAGTAGGTTTGCAGATGATACCAAAATCGCCAAATGACAGTGAAGAAGATTATCTTGGAGTACAATGAGACCTTGATCAGATGGGCCAATGTGCCAGGGACTGGCAGATGGAGTTTGAGATAAATGTGATGTGTTGTATTTTGATAAGGCAAACTGGGGCAGAACTTAGAGTGACAGTTAATGGTAGGGCCCTATGGAGTAATGCCAAACAAAGAGACATTGGGGTGGAGGAGCACGGTTCCTTTAAAGTGGATTTGCAGGCAGAAAGAATGGTGAAGAATGGGTTTGGCACACTTGCCTTCATCGAGTACAGGAGCTGGGACATCATGTTTCGGCTGTACAGGGCATTGGTGAGGCCACTTTTAGAATTCAACATATAATTCTGGACCCCTGCTATAGGAAAGAGGCTGTGAAGCTTGAGAGAGTGCAGAAAAGATGTCCAAGGATATTGCCAGGATGGAGGGCTTGAGTTATTGGGAGATTCTGAATAGGCTGGGGTTGTTTTCCCTTGAGCTTTGGAGACTGAGGTGTGACCTTATAGTGGTTTATCAAATCATGAGGGGCATTGATAGTGTGAAAAGCCAAGGTCTTTTTCCTGCGATTGAGGACTCAAAAACTAGAGGGCACAGGTTTATGGTAAGATGGGAAAGAATTAAAAAGGACCTGAGGGGTAACTTTGTCATGCAGAGGTTGGTCAATGCGTGGAATGAGCTGCCAACGGAAGTGGTAGAGGTGGGTACAATTACAACATTTGAAAGGCATCCAGATGAGTACGTAGATAGAAAGGCTTCAGAGGGATATGTACCAAATGCTGTAAATGGGACTAGGTCAGATTGGATGATCTGGAAGATGCGCTGAGCAAGATCAAAGGTGCCCTGGCAGCTACTTTGAGTGGATATCTACAATGACTAAAAACGTTGAGCCCATGAAAGCACCTGCATAGTCAATGCGTAACCAAGTCCAAGGTTTACCCGAACATTCCCTTGAATGTGAGGGCGCTGATGGTGGTAATTTTTGTCCTTGTTGGCACTTTGGGCACTGCCCCACCAACATGGCTCTGTCTGCATCCAGGCCTGGCCACCAGACATAAATTCTCAACAAAACATCCTCATTTTGGAAACCCCTGGTGGATTTCAGCCTGTATTGGCAGCTGCATTGGCTCAGGACAACATGCCATCCTCTGCTGAGAGTTGGTCTCTCCAGGTTCAATTCAAAGGATTTCAAAGGCTCTTTGGTTTCCCCTATCAATGCCAGTTGCTTCAGTTTTGAATGAACTGGATCTTTCTGTGTCCGAAGTCTGACATTGTCAGCTCTGATTGGGAGCATGTCCAGAAAATAAACACCATTACAGACTCTTCCATTGGGCATACGACTGGTGGTGTATTTGCTAATGTTAGGCAGCTCAATGCATCCACATTTGCTACTCAACCCCCTGGAATGTGTTCTAACTTATAATTATAAGCGCTTAGTGTTCAAAAACACCACTGAATGTAGCCCGAAACTATAGTTGGCACTGCCTTGTCCTCTTTAAGCACACCAAGTAGGGGTTTGTGTTCCGCGATTATCTCAAATTTTCATACATAAAGGTATTAGTAGACTTCCAGACTCTATATATGACTGTCAATCCATCTTTCTCTGTCTGGGTTTATTTACGCTCTGTGTCAGCCAAAGTCCTGGGTGTATGTGCCCTTGGGCACTGCTCTCCATTGGGCCACCATGAGCTAATATGACTCCAATGCCATGTGAGGAGGCATTGCATGTCAATGAATGCGAGATCTTTCTTGGCATCATAGCGTACCGATCCTTGGAGGATGATAGTTGTTTCTTCACTTCATTGAAAGCTCCAGTTTATTTTTGCAACCATTTCCAAGGCTGACACTTTTTTTGCAAAAGGAGTTGATTTAATGGTGTCAGGATGGAGGAGAGGTTATGTACGAACTTTCTAAAATAATTTGCCAGTCCGAGATATGACCTAAGGTCCTGGACAGGCATAGATGCCAGGGCACCTTTGATCTTGCTCACTTTATCTTCCAACAGTTATAACCCAGTCTTGTTGACTTTGCAGCCCACGTAGATCAGTTGGGGAAACTGGGACACACATTTTTTCCTTCTTAGGCATATGCCTGCCTTGGAAAAACATCTAAGGACTTTATCAAATTTCTTTGAGTTTTGCTTATATGTTTTCCCTGTTATTGGGTGATTGGCCATCTAAGTAAGTGGTGACCAGGGCTAGACTTTACAAAATGTTCTCGATTGTCCACTGAAAAATTGAAATGGCTGACGATATCCCAAATGACAGTCTTGTATATTGGTACAATCCCCTCTGGGTATTCCTTGTAGCATGCTTCTGGGATGCTGGTCTCAACACTGGCAAGTAAGTGTGGCTCATGGCCAGGGTCATGAAGGGCAGCACCCCCACCCACCCCCACCAACCCCGCCAGCTTTGTGCACAAATCCTGAGGGGTTGGCTATTTCTCCAGCTGTCAAAAGTGGGTTGCACTTTGTTTAAAATCCCCACAAAGGTGAACCAACCCAATGGGCTTGAAAATCATTCCAATGACTGCTGCCCATTCTGCAGAATGGAATGGCTTGATAATTCCTTCACTTTCCAGCCTTACGATTTCTGCCTCTACTTTTGCCCACAAGGAAACTGGCACTGGGCAGGCCTCACAGAATCATGGAATTGATTCCTGGTCAACATGCAAGGTGGCTTGGCTCCTCTGATAACATCCAGATCTTCCTGGGAGACTTACAGGTATTTAATTAGTATTTCACTCAAGCAGCCATTTTCTAATTGAAAAATGTTGAGCCGATCCAGATGAATGTCTCGCAACTGATTTCACCCCATCAAGTTTGGGCCAGATTCCCAGTCTGGCCAAGGTCTTGTGCAAAGTTAAGGGTTGGATTCCAGAGTGAATCATATTCAAGACTGGTTCTGTGATCGCTGATACAGCTACACTGGTATCGACCTCCATCAGAACAGGATGGCCATTTTGCCAGACGTTTATCTTGATTGGTCCTGAACTTGATGTCACTAAGCAAATTAACTGTTCCAAACCAGATTTTCCAGGATACCCTCTTGGATACTGTTCTTCTGTTGTCTCAATTCCACATACTGACAGAAACTACAATGGCTTGCTGGCCAGGATCCTGAAGAAAATTCTAACTGTTTGCTGAGGCTTGGCTTGGTTGGGAATTTTATTGTGAGCCACCCTAGAGTCCTTCTGATCAGGATACGTCCTGAGTGAGGCTATGCTATTGTATTCCCCAACCTCAGTCAGACTTTTGAGGGTGTCCACTTTATATCGGAATACCCTGTAACTCATAAGCTCTACTTGCTGCATTTTCCAATGATAAAACCATTTCCAGGGCATGTTTGAAATCCAGTTGGTCTTCAGCCAGTCGGTGTTTATGTATAGTTACATCATTAATCCCACATACCATTCTCTAAGCATCTCATTAAGGGTTAAAATCAAATTCACACGCTTTTGTCAGCTGTCTTAACCGCATCAGAATTTCTGGATTCAGTTGGGTCTCGAATAGCCAAATGAAAACAATAGCATCTCAGGATTAGAGGAGACTTGGTGTCGTAATGTTCCTCAATTATGCTCTTCAATTCTTGAAGGGTTTTAGTATCTGGTTCCTCAGGGAAAGTTGGGATCCGAATAACAGAAATAGCTGCAGCTCTACAGGCTATCAGGAGAATTACTCATTGCTTTTCGTCTGCCACATTGTCAGTTGCACAGAAACGATGCCACATTATTTTCATAGACCATGCCCAATCCTCGACAGCAGGGTCAAATGTGTCAAGTTTCCCAAACATGGCTGTTCTGAGCAACTTTATTCAGGATCGTGCCTTACTCCTGTTGCCACTGAAACAATTCTACAGATGCTAGTAATCACTCACCAAGTCAGCCTTTATTTAAAGACAGTTCTTGACTTTAGTAGAGCATCTTTCAGAGTCTCAATATCTCTGACACTCACCCATTTTATATGTTAGTCAGGGCTACCTGACTGGATCAGGTTAACAAGCCCAATCAATGAATTCACATTCTATGTGTTCCAGCTGGCTGACCTTGTTACAAACACTACAGGTATTATCCGGCGCGGGAATCCAGGTCAACCTGGAACTATGTTCAAATTAGAGTGAGGTCATTTAGAAGTGAAATCAGGAAACTCTTCCTCACAAAATCGCGAGTGGAAATCTCACCAAAATGCTGTGAGCACTGAGGATCAATTGAATGTTTCCAGCTTGAGATCAGGAGGGTTTCATTGGGGAAGGGCAGCAAGAGACATAGAGGAGTAATGGGTAAAGGGAGTGAGGGACAGATCAGACAGGACCTCGCTGAACGGGGAGGAACAGACATGAGGGGGCGAAAGGCAAATTCTTGTTCCTCTCTTAAACACATGTATACACACTCACACACACTGACACACACACACTCACACACACTGACACACACACACTCACACACACTGACACACACTGACACACACACACTCACACACACTGACACACACACAATCCTTACCCCACTGATAGAACTTGGCCTCTGACAGGCTGCTGTGTTCAATTTGACAGGAATATTGATCCTCATCCCCAGGATTGATTTCAATCTCTTTCTGGATCTGATGGGTCCCATCGTGGTTTGGTCGAATCCCCGAGGATTGTGTCTCAGACATGACCTCTCCATTCCTTAGCCAGGTCACCTCGATGTCTACAGGATAAAATCCAGTGACTAGGCAGGAGAGAGTGAGCGGCTTGTCCTGATGATTGGGCTCACTCCTGGAGATGAACACTTCAGGCTGAACTGTGACGGGAAAGGGTGAAAACACAAACAATACACAGACACAGAATGGAATGGGACAGCGGTTTCATAGAGCAGTGTAATTAGATCAGAACATGGGATCAAAAACTGAAAGACATACCTTTCCTTTTGAAAAATCCCTTTGCTGCTTCTAGATATCTGTTTAAATGCTGAACAAGTACCTCTTCCAGATGTACTTTCCAGTAGTTGTTCCAGGATTTATCTGAATCCCATTTCTCTTTAGTCATCACTGCAATGTGATTGGATGCGATCCATTTCATTCTGTCTGGTTCTAAACTAATAAAATCCTTTCCATCAAATCCGAATCTCATCGATCTCTTAATGCTTCCATCATCACTGACCTCAACAGTAGTTATCCGTTGAAAAGTGTGAATTCCTGTCAGTAACCAAACCGGGATTAATAATCAATAATGAATCGATAATCACAAACTGAGAAATGGTCCGATCAAAGAGGATTGAGAGAGTGGTTACACATGGTGCTAATCCCCAGGAACTGAGTTGTCCGATATTCCAGATTCGGGTCACTGCCCCTTTCTCTAGTGACTGCTTCATGCCTCATAAATAAGCAAATGCCCGTTGAATCTGGGTCAGAATTTCCATCTTCACATTCCCACTATCCTGGAGTGATAGTCCCAGTCTATGTGGTCAATCCTGAAGAAGGATCACTGAACCTGCAACAATTGACTCTACTTTTTCTGCCCAGTTGCTGCCAGACCTGCTGAATTTCTCCAGCAATAGCTGTTTTCGCTCCATGTTGTTATTTGTTTAGACCACAGGCAGCATTCTGGGGAATTTAGTCATGACCATCCTTGGCCACTCTGTCAGCCTCCCACAGTCACTGGCCCATGATAGGACTCCATGTGTTATTTACGAGGACACTCTGCCCAATGGGGCTGTGAAATCTTTTCCCCTGAGCTTCATGGAATGGAGATCAGGGTAAATCTCGAAGTTGTTTATGTGACGCTACTGTGGCTTTAATCAGTGTATTTTGTCCTGGTTCTTTTAAGACAGAGATTGAACAAGAGATGCCAAGCAGTCTATGATAATGTAAACAGCTTGTCACACCTTGGGTTTTTTTTGTAGAAGGTGGAATTATAGAAGCTGGGTGGCCAGCTCTCACACACCAGGATTGCTAGTTTTATTCAGCTTTTAGACTTGAGAGTGATTGCTGGTGTTTTGAAGAAGTAGAAGCTATTCTTTCTCCTCTCTCAGTTACAGCTAGAAGATGGCGGCTTCCCTTCCTATTGCAGGCATTGCATGTGACAAAATCTAATTTCGGAATTTGCCCTTTTGCCAAGGAGTGTATTTATGGGATGTTAGTATATTTGAACATTTAATTAGTAATATTTATTGTATCCATTATTCTGCTAAGTTTTCCAGTAGTTAAGTTATTCTAAGTTCTTCATTCTTTTGTTGTATTTTAACTGTAGTGTTTGAATAAATTTTGTTCTGCATCACATTGAGTACTTTAACAACTTGACTTGCACCCGGAGCACACCGTGTTACTTTTGCATTTAAAATAAGAAAAAAGTGAGGGTCAAGGAAACCTTCATAAAATATTTCGAGGGGGTCTGATCTGGACCATCGCAAACTGGGGGCTTTTGTCTGGATCAAAACCTCTAATTCCACATTAGGTTCAAGGCAGGCAGTGGCAAGTGCGAGCGTCTTTTGTTTCGGGTGTTGTATTCGGTTAGTTTAAAACAGGGTTTGCTGTGTGTAGTAATGGCTCTTCCAGTCACCAAGCGTTTCCGAGTGTTGGACAAAATCACTTCAGGAGCTTTAGAGGAAGTGAGCTTTTGAAATTGGCAGACCAGCTGGAGTTGGGGTTCCTTTTGTCTGTGTGAAAAGGGGAGGCAAATACAGCAATACCTCGGCATTTACAATTTCTGGAATTGCCATTGGAATCTTTGGAAATGGCTAAAATTCAGTAGCAAATGGAACAGCTTGTATTCGAAGCAAAAGAGAGGGAAAGAATAGCCCTAAAAGAAGAAAAAGAAAAGGAAAGAATAGTCGTAGCAGAAGGAGAGAGAGTTTGAACTTCCGAAGTTGGCAATTGGAGAGGAAAGTCGACTTACAAGGGCAAACATGAAGGTAAAAGATAAGCTTAGTGAGAAGGATAGTGATGATGAGCAAACCCACTGTAGCCAATGGCCCAGTTGGGATCAGCAATGCTTAAGTTCAATGAGAAGCTGTAGAAGCCTTTTCGTTTCATTTGAGAAAGTGGCTAAATGAATGAAATGGCCAGTGAACATGTGGGCTTTGTTGAGCCAAACAAAGTTGTAGGTCGAGCTAGTGAGGTGTTTGCATGACTATCAGAGGAGGTAACTGGGGAGTATGAGGAGGTGAAGAAAGCCAGATGTGCAGATGAACCAGTGACAGAAGCCTACTGGCAATGTCTCAGGAATCTCAGGAGGGACCCTGGTCAAACATACATTGAGTTTGAAAGGATCAAACAAAGTAATTTTGATAGGCTGATAAGGGCATTAAAAATAGGTCAAACACATGACAATCTTAGAGAGACGATTGTTTTGGAGGAGTTCAAAAATTCATTTGCTGAGTAAGTGAGAACTTATGTGGTATGGCACAGAGTTAAAACAGCATGATTAGCAGCAGAAATGGCAGATGATTATGAGTTGATTCATCATTCAAATTTGGCTTCTGACATCAATTTCAGTCTGTGAGGGACAGAAATTGGGGAAAAGAGAAATCCTCGGGTGGTAAGCGAAATGGAGATCTCATTGAAGATAGTGAAGATGGTTTACCACAGGGTAAAAAGGGAACCCATGAGAGGGAAAGAGAAATGAAAAACCTCAGGTGTTTTCACTGCAATAAACTAGGCCACATGAAGTCACAGTAGTGGTGGTTCAGAAAAAGCACTGGGAAGACGGATGTGGGGAAAACAGGATAAGCCAGTGAATTTTGTTAAAGTGGTAAGGGAAAGCACAGTGGAAGTTAAAAAGCTGCTGCAGAATGTACAACCTGATCAGGAGTTGGGTGAGGAGAAAGTGCCACATTTCCTTCAAGAATTTACTTGCGAGGTTAAGGTTCACTCATATTTGCCAGAAGGAGCAGGTAAAGAAACTACAATTTTCAGAAATAGGGGAGCATGGCAATCTTTGATGGTGAGTGATGAGGAGATACTTAATTCAGAAGGACTGTTGCCAGAAACAGTGGTAATAAGTGGAATCCATGGTGAGAAGAGAAATGTTCCATTATATAGAGTGAGGTTGGAGCGTCCGGTGAAGTGTGGGGAAGTGGTTGAAAGGAACTGGAGAAATTCTCGGCTCCAAGAATAAAATTTGTCCTTGCTAATGACACAGCTGGATTACAGGTGGGATTGATGCCTACTGTGGTTGAAAAGCCAGTGGAAAGTCAGGAAACTGAGGTATTATGGGGAATATACCCTGGGATTTTTCCTGATTGTGTAACAACTAGTTCACAAAGGTACAGGTTGAAGCAGGGGGAGAGATCAAAGAAGAAAGATAAGGAAGTTGAGATACAATTGTCAGACACCATGTTAGATCAAATGGTTGAGAAAAATAAGAAAAGGTAGAGAACAAAGTCGGTATTTTTAGTTCAGAGCAATTAACTGAATGAGAAGAGGAGGAAGAAAACATAAAGCAACTGCATTGAAAAGATACACCAAAGTATATGAGTGTATCTCAGAATGTTACTATCTTAAAAATGATGCCTTAATGAGGAAATGGAGACCATCACATATTCAGGAGGATGAGAAATGGGCAGAAGTTCATCATGTTCTATTACTGGTGGTTTATACAATGGAGGTGTTGTGGGTAGCACATGAATTACCATTAAGAGGTTAGTTGTGGTTAAGGAAAACTCAAGCCAAAATACAAAAATATTTTTCTTGGCCCGGACTGTGTAAGGTTGTGGCTGAATTTTGCCTGACATGTCATACATGAGATGATGTTGGAGACAGTAGCACCCAGCCCTGCCGACTCTTAACCATCCCCCCAGACCTTCCTCTCACTGAGGATGAGCGGTCAGTCCTCAGTAAAGGACTCACCTTTTTCCCCCTCCACCCACACATCAACGAATACCGCTCACGCTTGGACATTGAACAGTTTTTCTGCCGCCTCTGCCTCCGCGCTTGCTTCTTTAACCGTAATCTGACCCTCCCTCGACTGACCCCTTCCGCTGCCTTCAACACACCCCCTCCTCCTGGACACCACCTCAAGGCCTCCTACCCTCCCTCGACCTCTTCATCTCCAACTGCCATCGCGACATCAATCGCCTCAACTTCTCCACCCTTCTCACCCACTCCAACCTCTCCCCAACAGAATGTGCAGCCCTCCACTCCATCCGTTCCAATTCCAACCTCACCATAAAACCCGCGGACAAGGGAGGCGCAGTTGTAGTATGGCGCACTGATCTCTACATCGCCGAGGCCAGGCACCAACTCTCCGACACCTCCCCCTACCACCCCCTTCATCATGACCCCACCCCCGACCACCAAATCATCATCTCCCAAACCATCCACAACCTCATCACCTCAGGTGACCTCCCATCCGCAACCTCCAATCTCATCGTTCCCCAACCCTGCACCGCCTGTTTCTATCTCCTTCCCAAAATCCACAAACCTGACTGCCCTGGTCAACCCATTATCTCCGCCTGCTCCTGCCCCACCAAACTTATCTCCACTTATCTCGACTCCATTTTCTCCCCCTTGGTCCAGGAACTGTCCACCTACGTCAGTGACACCACCCACGCCCTCACCTCCTTCAAAACTTCCAATTCCCCGGTCCCCAACATCTCATCTTTACCATGGACGTCCAGTCCCTATACACCTGGATTGCCCATACAGATGGCCTAGAGGCCCTCCACTTCTTCCTGTCCCGCAGGCCCGACCAGTCCCCCTCCACTGACACCCTCATCCGCTTAGCCGAACTCGTCCTCACTCTCAACAACTTCTCTTTCAATTCCTCCCACTTCCTACAGACAAAGGAGGTGGCAATGGGTACCCGCATGGGCCCAAGTTATGCCTGCATCTTTGTAGGATACGTGGAATAATCCCTCTTCCATACCTACAATGGCCCTAAACCCCACCTCTTCCTCCGTTACACTGATGACTGTATCGGCGTCACGTCATGCTCCCACGAGGAGCTCGAGCAGTTCATCCATTTCACTAACACCTTCCATCCCAACCTACAGTTCACCTGGACCATCTCTGATACCTCTCTCTCCTTCTTGGACCTTTCTGTTTCCATCTCTGGCAACCACCTGGAAACCGATATCCATTTCAAGCCCACCAACTCCCACAGCTACCTCGAATATGCCTCCTCTCACCCACCTTCCTGCAAAAATGCCATCCCCTATTCCCAATTCTTTTGCCTCCACCGCATCTGCTCCCAAGAT